CAGTCACCAATGACCTGTTTTGATACAGTTCTGCTAGTTACCTATAGAGGGCACTCCAGCACATAGCTTGGCATGCAGTACAAACACACGTCATGTTTGAACACAGTTCTCCTAGTCTCCTGCAGAGGGCACTCCAGCACATGGCCTGGCATGCAATACAATCACTCATGTCACGTCTGAATACAGTTCTGTCAGTTACCTGCATAGGGCACATGAGCCCAAGACCTGAAGGTGGCGCTCCAGCATAAAATCTGGCATGCAACACAGTCACCAATGTCCTGCTTTGATACAGTTCTGCTAGTTACCTATAGAGGGCACTCCAGCATAAGATCTGATGTGTAGTACAATAATTCATTGCCTACTGTAATAAAATTCCCTCCATCTCCTGCAGAGGACGCTCCAAAAAAGGCTTGGCATGCAGTACAATCACTCATGTCATGTTTGAACACAGTTTTCAAGGCCTGCAGGTGGCGCTCCAGCATAAAATCTGGCACTCAACACAGTCACCAATGTCCTGCCTTGATACAATTCTGCTAATTACCAATAGAGGGCACTCCAGCACATGGTCTAGCATGCATTACAATCACTCATGTCATGTTTGAACACAGTTCTTCTAGTCTCCTGCAGAGGGAACTCCAGCATGAGATCTGATGTGCAGTACAGTAATTCATTGCCTACTGTAATAACATTCTCCCCATCTCCTGCAGAGGACGCTCCGAAACAAGGCTTGGCATGCAGTACAATCACTCATGTCATGTCTGAACACAGTTCTGTCAGTTACCTGCATAGGGCTCCAGCATAAAACATGACACTCAACACAGTCACCAATGACCTGCTTTGATACAGTTCTGCTAATTACCTATAGAGGGCACTCCAGCAAATTGTTTGGCATGCAGTACAATCACACATGTTTGAACACAGTTCTGACAGTTACTTGCATAGGGCACATCAGCACAAGGCCTGCAGGTGGCGCTCCAGCATTAAACCTGGCATGCAACACAGTCACCAATGACCTGCTTTGATACAGTTCTGCTAATTACCTACAGAGGGCACTCCAGCACATGGCCTGGCATGCAGTACAATCACTCGTCATGTTTGACAACAGTTCTCTCTATCTCCTGCAGAGGACACTCCAGCAAAAGACTTGGCATGCTGCAGTTATAGATGTCTTGACTTGATACATTTCTTCCCATGACCTGCAGAGGGTGCTCCATACAAGGCTTGGCATGCAGTCCCATTGCAGAGTTTTCTGGAGATGACATGGTAAAGTCCTGTGCTTCTCATTTTATTGAAACATCTTTCAAAAGGTTGCTGCAGTCCTGGCAATACTGGACACATGATTATGACAGTTATGCAATCTTGTGCATTACATTTATTATACTTCTGCCTTTTCCCCCCCAATAAAATTTTTGTTGTGCATTACATGCTCACCATCTGATTTCCCCTTTAGGGATCCCTCTGTTTCACTCATACAAGAGCCACTCTATCAATTAAATGGAGTTGTATACTGGATCTTACATGCAGTTTTAGCATCAATCGGGGCATAAAGCTGGAGGTGGGCTCAGTATACATGCCACCTTACGCATAGCAGTTTCTGCTGTCTTTCCATGTGTGGCGCCCTCTAGTTTAGCTAGATAGGATTTTTGTGAGGCAGAGGCTTCTTAGAGTCAGCCTGGGAGTGAGGTAGAGAGGTCACCTTGGGACAGGCTGGGAGGCTCTACAGCTTCTAAAGACTGCTGGAACTTTCTGGAAGGGTGGGGGGAGGCCCAGATTTGCATGTTTAAGGGAACTTGGCCAATCACCAGGCAGGAGGTTGGGCATGGTGGTTAAGAGCAACCCTTAAATGTAGCAGAGCCTGTGCAGCAGGAGTTGTGTTCGGGTGGAATATGGACTGAGAGAAGGTGCTGGAGTTTGGATCCTGGGAGGGGGGCCTTCCTACAGGTTGGTGCTGGATGGAAGGATCACCACTGTACCACCATCTCCTAGGAGGATGTCCTGTTGGCAGTGAAAGCCAGCCCAGCGTAAGGCCTGAAAGCAGCTGCAACCCATCAAGCTAACAGGACAGCGCGAGTACTTTTACACCCCCTGGGCCAGTGAAGGGAGAGGGCGGTCAGGTGCAAGATCCAACTACTTCCAGGACTACTTAAAGGCAGATCTTGGAATCCCTTGCCCAGGGATACTCTCAGGACAGCTGGGTGAAAGAAAAAGGATTCATCTGGGATCTGAGGAGGTACACCAAAAGAGATATCAGTGCTTCTTAAAGACACTGTTGCTACTTTTTTGGACTTTGTTTTGCTAAGACGTTGTCCTCAAGTTTTACAGTTCTTTGGGCATCCCATATACCCCTAGACCCCATCCAAGCTGTTAACCCTTGATAAAACACAAAAAACAAGCTCAAGGACGGTTTTACTGACTCAGTATGTGTGAAAATGTGGAAATGCGTGTTGCCTGGCTGTGCAGAGCTTAGGAGGACCCATCAAAATTCAGCGGCTCTTAAGGGGGTGAACGCTACACATGTGCTACAGCATATCTGGCTGTCCAGCAATGAACCAAAGGGTAGTCAACAGGGGCGGACTGACAACTCATGGGGCCCCAGGGCAATAGGGGATCATGGGGCCCCTGTGTCCTTGCCCAAAGTAAAAGAAAATCTATGAAACGGGCACCAGGGGCATCTCATGGGGCCCCCTACTGACCCCGGGCCCTAGGGCGGTGCCCAAGTTTCCAAATGGTCAGTCCGCCCCTGGTAGTCAATGCCTGTCTGGCAGGAAGCCATGGCATACCCTGTAGTAATTCAGCAGGCCATGACATAATTAGTGCTCATCCAGCAGGGAGTCAAAGTGAAGTCATTGAATACCCAGTGAGAAGCCACAGCATGGTCAGCGGCTCATAGGCAGCCATGGCTTAGCCAGCACTCAACCTATAGGGAGCCACGGTGTAGCCAGCACCCGTCCAGCAAGGAGACATGGTCTAATCAGCTGTTATCCTGTTGCACTTATCTGAAAAACTTTTAGAGAATGACTGACTTGGCTACACCATTGATGGCCATGGATTTTAGGGGATAGTTTGTTTAGCTAGACCAGGGGTCTTTAAACTTTCTAAACAAAGGGCCAGTTTACTGTTCTTCTGGACTGTGGCCAGTGAAAGTAGGAAACATCCTGGTGTCAGTGGGAGAAAACAATGCTCCATCCATCTTCAATGGAAGTAATAATGCCCCATCGTTGGTGTCAGTAGGAGGAATAGAACCCCATCGTTGGTATCAGTAGGAGGAATAGAACCCCATCGTTGGTATCAGTAGGAGGAATAGAACCCCATCGTTGGTATCAGTAGGAGGAATAGAACCCCATCGTTGGTACCAGTGGGAGGAATAGTGCCCCCATTGTTGGTGTCAGTGGGAGGAATAGTGCTCCATCATTGGTGTCAGTGGGAGGAATAATGCCCCACTGTTGGTGTCAGTGGAATAGTGGTGTCATTGTCGAGAATTTTGCCCCCATTGCTGGTATCAGTGGGAGGAATTATGCCCCCATTGTTGGTGTCAGTGGGAGGAATTATGCCCCCATTGTTGGTGTCAGTGGGAGGAATTATGCCCCCATTGTTGGTGTCAGTGGGAGGAATTATGCCCCCATTGTTGGCGTCATTGTCAAGTATTTTGCCCCCATTGTTGGTGTCAGTGGGAGGAATTATGCCCCCATTGTAGGTGTCAGTGGGGAGGAATTATACCCCCTTTGTTGGGTGTCAGTAGGAGGAATAGTGCCCCATTGTTGGTGTCAGTAGGAGGAATAGTGCCCCGTTGTTGGTGTCAGTGTGTTAGGAATGGACTGGCCAGCAATGGTGGGACTCACCTGCCTTTTGATTGCAGTACCAGGGCTGGCCAGCGGGTGCTCCCAGCAATCAGAGACTCAACCTTTCAGCCAGCTAACACCTGGAACTGATGATGCTGGGGTATTTAAGGGATGGCCAGACCCACAGACGCGGCCTTGGTGTTGTGTTTGTCCTGGGCCCTGTATCTGTCCTGCATCCTGTTTCTGTCCCTCTGCCTGACCCTCTGTACTACGCTGCTTGTTACCTGTTTTGATCTCTGGCTTGTGACCCTGACCATCCCTCTGCCTGACCCTCTGTACTACGCTGCTTGCTACCTGCTGAACCTGGCCTGTGACCCCGACCATTCTCCGCTTGCTCCCCCTGTACCTACCTGCCCAATTGATATTGACCCGGCCTGCCTGACGACGCTTGCTTGTATGTACTGTTATCTGTGGGTGGTTTGGTTTGGTTTGTTTGCACTGTATTATGTTTAGTATTGCACTGCGTTTATGTTTGTATGGTTAGTGTTAATAAATTGTATTGTTTATCACATATCTGAAGTCTGCGTTTCCCTGCATCAGTCACACACCTCTGGTCATACCTGGGAGCCCTGACATTACACCAAGGCCGATCCTGACCAGAAGTGGCTGCACAGGGAAGCCATCTTGGCTTGTTGATGGGAAGGATGGATCTTGATGAGGTTGAATATTTATATCTGCTAGTGTTTGATGACAGGGAGTATGCTTATCAAACTCTGAAGGAGTATACCCGGGATGAACTGCTAGAATGTATACGGCTCGCTCATGTTCTAGTAGATCAGGGCACAGAGTTCTCTATGGTGCAGCCTTTGATTGAGGTTTGTGCTGAGTTGGTTTCATCTGGTTCCCCCGAATGCAGGGATGAATTTTTGCCACCATTTAGTGCAGACCAGGTAGAGTCCCTGTATGGTTATTAGAGGATGATGTGGGTTACTTTCTGGAGCGTTATTCCACATGTTCACCACAGACACTAAGAGATTGTATAAACGCAGTGCAGTCATTGACCAGACAGGCTTTGTGTAAGCTCAGCTTTGTTCAACCCATACTGCAGACATGGACGATTTGTTGCACCCAGCCTCAGTCAGCTTACAAAGACCCAGTCCTGCTTCTAATCTATTTCCTCAAAACTCTATTCCTGCATTCCCAACAGCTCCTCCTGCCCTGCTATCTACCGCATGTCAGTCCCCTGTTCCCACTCGCTGCACCTATCCTGCCTTTAACCCTGTAAAAAAGCCCTCTGTAGCAACCGCTCCCTCTCCTGTTCCATCCTCCAGTTCTTCTCTGTCTCCAGCTGCTCCATTCGTTTGCAGACCTGCGTTTACTTGCAGTGCTCCAGTAGTTAAAACCAGAAAAAAGCGAAAATTCTTTCCAACCAATACCATCCTGCCAGTATCCAAACCGGTGAGCCTGCCTTCCGTGGTTCAGCCCGAAGCCTCTACTCGGCCCGAAGCCTCTACTCGGCCCGAAGCCTCTACTCGGCCCCGAAGCCTCTACTCGGCCCGAAGCCTCTACTCGGCCCGAAGCCTCTACTCGGCCCGAAGCCTCTACTCAGCCGGACGCCGGCATTCAGCCTGATGCCTCTACCCAGCATGATGAACTGATCCAGCCTGACGATCCTATTAGGCCAGTTGACTCGATGCCCGCTGTTGATCCAGATGATCCGGTACCTGATCCGGTGCCCGCTGTTGAGCCAAATGACCTGATGCCTGGTGACCCAGTGCCCGCTGTCATACCGGGTGACCCGATGCCCGCTGTCGAGCCAGACAATCCGGTACCTGATGACCCGGTGCTCACTGTCGTGCCTGTTGACTCGGAGCCCACTGCCTTGCCAGATGACGCGGTGCCCGCTGTCGAGCCAAATGACCTGATGCCTGGTGACCCAGTGCCCGCTGTCCAGCCAGACGATCCAATGTCTGACCCAGTGCCAGCGGTCATCCCAGTTGACTCGGAGCCCACGGTTGTGCCTGGTGACTCGGTGCCCGCCGCCCCGCCTGAGGGTCCGAGACCTGTCGTTCCGCCTGGGGGTCCGGCGCCCGCCACTCCGCCTGAGGGTCCGAGACCTGTCGCTCCGCCTGGGGGTCCGGCGCCCGTCGCTCCGCTTGAGGGCCCGAGACCTGTCGCTCCTCCTGGGGGTCCGGCGCCCGCCGCTCCGCCTGAGGGCCCGAGACCTGTCGCTCCGCCTGGGGGTCCGGCGCCCGCTGCTCCGCCTGAGGGCCCGAGACCTGTCGCTCCGCCTGGGGGTCCGGCGCCCACCGCTCCGCCTGAGGGCCCGAGACCTGTCGCTCCATCTGGGGGTCCGGCGCCCACCGCTCCGCCTGAGGGCCCGAGACCTGTCGCTCCTCCTGGGGGTCCGGCGCCCGCCGCTCCGCCTGAGGGCCCGAGACCTGGGGGTCCGGCGCCCGCCGCTCCGCCTGAGGGCCCGAGACCTGTCGCTCCGCCTGGGGGTCCGGCGCCCGCCGCTCCGCCCGGGGGCCCGATGCCTGTCGCCCCGCCCGGGGGCCCGATGCCTGTCGCCCCGCCCGGGGGCCCGATGCCTGTCGCCCCGCCCGGGGGCCCGGTGCCTGTCGCCCCCCGCCCGGGGGCCCGGTGCCTGCTGCCCCGCCCGGGGGCCCGGTCGCCCCGCCCGGGGGCCCGGTGCCTGCTGCTCCGCCCGGGGGCCCAATGCATGTCGCCCCGCCCGGGGGCCCGGTGCCTGCTGCTCCGCCCGGGGGCCCGGTGCCTGCTGCTCCGCCCGGGGGCCCGGTGCCTGCTGCTCCGCCTGGTGGCCCGCTGCCTGCTGCTTCGCCTGGTAATCCGATGTGCCTCTGCCTGGAGTCCTGCCCGATGTGCCTCTGCCCGGAGTCCTGCCCGATGTGCCTCTGCCCGGAGTCCTGCCCGATGTGCCTCTGCCCGGAGTCCTGCCCGATGTGCCTCTGCCCGGAGTCCTGCCCGATGTGCCTCTGCCCGGAGTCCTGCCCGATGTGCCTCTGCCCGATGTGCCTCTGCCCGGTGTGCCTCTGCTCGATGTGCCGCTGCCCGGAGTCCAGCCCGGTGTGCCGCTGCCCGGAGTCCTGCCCGGTGTGCCAGTCTTTGATATCCCGCCAGTTACCAGACCCGAGCGGTGGAACATTTTGCCCAGCTAGGACTGTTTGGAGCGTCCTGAGGCCGCTCCTTGGGGGGGGGGGTACTGTTAGGAATGGACTGGCCAGCAATGGTGGGACTCACCTGCCTTTTGATCTGCAGTACCAGGGCTGGCCAGCGGGTGCTCCCAGCAATCAGAGACTCAACCTTTCAGCCAGCTAACACCTGGAACTGATGATGCTGGGGTATTTAAGGGATGGCCAGACCCATAGACGCTGCCTTGGTGTTGTGTTTGTCCTGGGCCCTGTATCTGTCCTGCATCCTGTTTCTGTCCCTCTGCCTGACCCTCTGTACTACGCTGCTTGTTACCTGTTTTGATCTCTGGCTTGTGACCCTGACCATCCCTCTGCCTGACCCTCTGTACTACGCTGCTTGCTACCTGCTGAATCTGGCCTGTGACCCCGACCATTCTCTGCTTGCTCCCCCTGTACCTACCTGCCCAATTGATATTGACCCGGCCTGCCTGACGACGCTTGCTTGTATGTACTGTTATCTGTGGGTGGTTGGTTTGGTTTGTTTGCACTGTATTATGTTTAGTATTGCACTGCGTTTATGTTTGTATTAATAAATTGTATTGTTTATCACATATCTGAAGTCTGCGTTTCCCTGCATCAGTCACACACCTCTGGTCATACCTGGGAGCCCTGACACAGTGGGAGGAATATTGCCCCCATTGTTGGTGTCAGTGGCAAGAATTATGCCCCCATTGTTGGTGTCAGTAGGAGGAATAGCTCCCCATTGTTGGTGTCAGTGGGAGGAATTATGCCCCCATTGTTGGTGTCAATAGGAGAGATAGTGCCCCAAGGGCTGGATAAAGGCAAGGAAAGGGCCACACCTGGTCCCAGGGCAGTTTGGACCATTGATGTCTATAGATTTGCCCCTGTGGTAACCCCTTGTATGCCCCAAAGCACTCCCAGGGGTTCATGTAGTCCTTGTGATGGAGCACGGTGGGATTTGCTCATATTAGTACAATTCCTAGCTCTAGCAATAGCAGCAATTAGAAATGGGATTTTGGCCATAACATTCATTTCAGTTAATCTAAAAACATATTTAGTGACCTCACTTGAGGGGAATGTTGGACTCTGGGAGGGGGTTCTGATCCATGAAATGCCTGGACCTTTCCGCGGATGCCATGCTGTCAGGCCTCTGTGTTCTAATATGAGAAGGCAGAGCAGGAAATGCTTGGAATTGTTGCAATGTTACAGTCAGAACATTTCCCTGTATGTAATCAACGAATCCAGGAGATCGGAGGTTAAATGTCTTCGATAAAAGATTATTTCTACATCTTTGACAGGTTCCTCCAGACCAATTATGGTGCGCTAAAATGTGTACTTGGGTGCAGAGACGCACTGGATGCCTTCAGCTGCCGTTGTACTTTTGCTGGGTGTCCCATGCGTCCCGGTGCCTTAAAGTGTTACTAAACCCACAACAGTATAATCAGTCTGTAGATGCAGTAAAGCATGCTTGTTATACTCACTGTGGGACCTAAGGGGATAATCATTGTGTAGAAAGGTGGTTTGATTCTGTCTTCTCCGATCCTCCCCTTCTACTGTCCCCAATCCATCTGCTGATAGAACAGAACCTTGGGGGCAAGCTGAACATGCTCAGTTTGGTGTGTATTGCTAGAGAGGTTTGTTTTTTTTTCATGAGTGAGTGCATATGATCAGCACAGGGCCAATCAAGACTGTTCAGACAGACAGACAGAGGTCAGGGGTTCTGCATCCTCTTAGAGCAGAATGAAAACTCCTCCTACAAGCTTTAACCAGTGCTCTGCTGGACACTGATAGAAGTCACAAGACTGCTATATACTGCTGATGAAAAAAGGTATTTAGCAGTTTACTAAAATAATTGCCTTTCCATGTTCTGTGTACTGTGGGAGACCAGATATGCAGGGTCCGGGGAGACCAAATATAGTGAATGCAGGGTCCTGGGGACCAGATATAGTGAATGCAGAGTCCGGGGAGACCAGATATAGTGAATGCAGGGTCCAGGGAGACCAGATATAGTGAATGCAGGGTCCTGGGGGACCGGATATAGTGAATGCAGGGTCCGGGGAGACCGGATATAGTGAATGCAGGGTCCAGGGAGACCAGATATAGTGAATGCAGGGTCCAGGGAGACCAGATATAGTGAATGCAGGGTCCAGGGAGACCAGATATAGTGAATGCAGGGCCCTGGGGGACCAGATATAGTGAATTCAGAGTCCAGGGAGACCAGATATAGTGAATGCAGGGTCCGGGGAGATCGGATATAGTGAACGCAGGGTCCGAGGTTTATCAACACTTTATGAAAGGGTGGGCTACCTCCAAGCACACCTGCCCTTAATCTATCCACTGCTGTTTATACTCCTGCTTGGGAAACTGTGATGTAGTCACCGGTCACACCACTATGATTTAAAATTTCATGATTTGTGAGGGATTTCAGATGCGATTTCTGAAGACTTTATTGCGAGTTGTAAAGATTTTCAACGATTTCTTGCAATCTCCATTATATTCTTTGTATGTGAATTTGCAATAAACTGTAGAAGACATAATGCGAGAACTACTTTAGAAATCGCGCTGCAGCAAATCACACATGTTAGGACACTGACAGTCGCATTCATTAGATGCGATTTCAATTCACAAATTGTACCAGTGTGACCGGAGTTAGGACCGCAGTATACAGAGGAGCCTTCAGAAAGAGATATGGATAATGAATGGATCCAAAATTCATTCTGTTCACCAGTTTGGATCAGGGGCGGACTGACCATTTGGAAACTCGGGCACTGAAAATAATGGCACCTGAACCTGTGTTTTGCAATCACAGTGATTCTGCTGCAATCCCAAATCGCCCAGGTATGAATGAAGCCGCCCTGGTTCACACACATGCAATTCTGGATGCCTTTTTAAACTCACAGATTCGCATAACAGGTTAGATATTATGTGTTCCTATTGCAGTGGCTCACACAGATGCGATCCACACACTATTACGAAAAGGGTCCTGTGCGAGTTTGTAGCAGTGCGTTCCAGACTTGCAAGTGATAGAGCAGAGTGGCATGCAGGAATAAGTGTTCACATAGGATTGCTATTGACAGGAGTTTTTACATTTAAGTCAATGGGATGCGATTTTACATTGAAGCCAATAGGACGCAATTTTGCATTGAAGTCAGTGGGAGGCAGTGTGTGAACCCAGATGCTAAGGCACAATTTCTAAGCACCATGATGACCTGGTACCTGGGATTCGTCGAGCCCTAGCTTAGAGTGCTCTAGATTGTGTGCTTTATTTATATCTATCTGCCTGTGTGTGTCCAGCCAGCTAGATTTTTGGTACCCTCTAAGTCGTTCTTGGTGTGGACCTCATGACAGTCTGTTTTTGTGGAACTTTTCTACACAAGCGTTTTGCATTTTTGACAGAAGTCTTCACTATTGGGGGGAGTCCCAGGATTTGGAATAAGTAAGGGTGAGGGAGGTGTTCTGACCCCCTGACATGTGCATGCTTGTTATGTGACAAGGATCAGGATGACAGCCCTGAAGCCTTCTCCCTCAATCTTTAAGCAGTGGCAGCTCCCATATTCCTATTCTGGCAGGCTCTTTTTAAAGCCAGGCATTGAACGTGCTGTGTTGTCACAGGGGCGGACTGACCATTTGGAAACTCGGGCACTGCCTGAGGGCCCAGGGGTCAGTAGAGGGCCCCATGAGATGCCCCTGGTACCTTTTTCATAGGCTTTTTTGAGTTTGGGCAAGGACACAGGGACCCCATGATCCCCTATTGCCCGGGGGCCCCATGAATTGTCAGTCCGTCCCTGGTTGTCACACATGGCAAGAACGTTCATGGAGGAATCCGGAACAGAAAATTCTTCTGTCTGTAACTAACCGCCAGCCAATGCTCTGCAGTGAGTGAAGACCACCAGTTGGCTGCCATGGATTCAGTCTTTAGCTCCTCACGTGAAGGAATCCATGCCACCAATGCTGGGCTTCTGGTAGGGGTTCTGCATGGTACACTTGTGTCTGGTAA